TGATGGCCCATAGCACTTTATGAGTGCCCAGTTTTAAGTTGCTAGGTCTGTTCAAAATCTGTCCATTTAGCAGTGTGGTAGTGAAACATGACATGGTGCAGTGTATCTTCAACACAAAGACAAAGACATGAAGATTTTTGACAACTAATTCTCTAAAATTTAAACTGTTTGACAATCTTACTTGTAATAACACAATTTTGTATCCTCCAAGTGAACTGCCACCATTACGATACATTGGCACACTATGGTTTAAAGCTTAAATGATGGAGTAATAGTGTACAGTATGCAGGCTGCTTGAAATGAATGAAGAATGAGGCCACATCAGTAGGCCATACATCAGTGGCTGACTATAAACACTTGAGTAAATGGTTACTCTTTGACCGCAATATATGACAAAGTTAGGTAGTTTAAAATCTTCTCACTAGCTTTTCTGCTAACTGTTCTATAATGTCAACATTGGGTAAATAAAGCAATAATGGTCTAGATTTTTCTCTCACCAGCAAAGATTTTTTCCTGTTCCCTTCCTTACCAGAACTTATCAGTAATTCCAATAATTTGATATATTTGTCTGTGCAATGCTTTCTATAAGGGACTGCTGGTATCTGTGCACAGGGTAAGCAACTGAAAGACTAGTCAATCAGGATGAAGTAACCTCATTGGGCCACACTGATCAAATTAAGAAATAAAAACTGGAAATAAAATCTCAATTTAAACTATATCCAAGAAGGGGAATAATGCTTGAGAAACACAGATGAGATTAAGACACAGAGATAAATTATAAATGAAACATAGAAAAAGCAAAAAAGAAATCTGTAATATTAATTTTTTGAAGGAAATAAAAGTCTGTAAATGTAGAATTATTTTTTCCCAGGATAACGAGGTTGTTCAGCAATACTGGTCCCTTTTTACATTGTTAAAAGCTCAACGTACTCCTAAGTATACCAGTCCTAACTTTTCCAGCCATCTTAATGCAGAATGAGAGGCTGAGTACAGCAAATTCATGCCATTACAGGGATTTCAGTGCATTGTCTATTGGCAAGGACTGCAACAGTGCCCCCTGTGGACGAGCAAGCTATCTCTTACAGAAACTTCTCAATTTTTACATTTCACTATGCATATGGGGAAGCCAGAAGTTGTTGACAGACTTACCTTGTCAACATGGTAAATGTTGCTAGTCTCAATGTAGCAATATCTGGGCCACCCACACCAGGAGCATTATGCTTGATGCATTCTGTCCTAATTTAGAAGAACTTGAAGTACACATTGTGCATTTACACCATGTGTTTACATCTTCCTGCCACCCACACATCAAAACTTGTTACCAACACCAATCTATACATTCTGCGAAAGGTTGAAAAGACACTATTAACATGAATTACTAGATTCCATTTATATTGGGAGGAGTCTGCTGTTATACTGGAACCAGTACAATATGAAGCCATATTCAAAAATGTTCCATTTGAAATGTTGCTGGAGGAAGTGAAATTAACTGTTAATTACAGAAGAATCACGGCATCTACTGTTATACCATTAAACTGGTGCCAGCTTTATACCAAAGACAAATTAAAGTAGTTGATGGAAAAGCATAAATATAATGAGGGTACGCCAGAAACACTCCTAATGTCCTTGAGCATCTAATGATGTTTTCATTAGAGTGGATGAATAATCAAAAATCTTCCCATGCATGTGATAATTACCTTATTAGTGGCGAAAGCAAGTTTTACCCATGATTTTTAAATACCTTTTTAATGACAATTGATAGTTACATTGTTTTTAAAGTATAATGGTTCATTCATTTGAAGTTCAGTAACAAATTACATACAGTCATTTCAAAATAAGCCATTTAAATGGTTGATCTATTGACCAAGAATCTGTTGAAGCCTATTTTAACTCAAGAGGTTTCATTCAATAAAGATGTTAGTTGTGCATTTAGATAATGAATAATTCAAAACTTCTGACAATTAACAATAACTTTTTAAATGTTTTTTTAATCTGGAAGCATGTTGATCCATGCAGTACCACACCAGTTCAAGAGAATCTACAAATATAGGTAAATAATCAAATAGCACTGTTTAAACAGTGTACAAACAGGTAATAACACTGCCTCATTTATACATTCTTGTTTCCGAATAATTTGTTTGAATTGCTGCTAGGAGCAACCACAATAAAAGTGAAAAAGTCATTCATCATAAAATCACTACTCTCACCAGCTTGCCATCAAATCTCAAGAGATTTAGAGAAGGGCAGCAAGAACTGGCCTTACCAGTGATGCTCAGACCCATAAATGAATTAAAATACCTTACAGACAGTGGAGTCCCAAATGTGCTTTCAGAAGATAAAAATGACACTAGTCTTTGAGACAGATTCTAATGCAGTTCTTAACTGACAAGAAGTATAACTAAAACAAACCCAGAGAGCGCTGGAGAAACTCAACAGGTCTGGCAGTATCTGTGGACAGAGAAACAGAGTCATGTTGCAAGTCTGACAGGACTCTTCACAACTTCTGAAGAACTTGTAACTATTTCTTCCCAATCATTTTCTTAAGCAGTGGTTGGGGACAAAGGGTAACTTGCTGCTAATCCAGTTCAATGAGATCTGAGATGGCTAACAGGTTCAATAGGTAATGTGCAGATTCTACCACATGCGCAGCAGAGAAGATGATATTTGAAGAGTTGGGCAGATGAGTTTTGTCTGTCTCTGACTCTTTCACTTCTGTGCGCCCTTTATGAAGCTCCTCAAATGAACTTTCTTTTTGTTAAAAGTGAAATAGTCACACCTTCTTCCAGAAACACCCTGCACACTCAATAACAATATATTACAGGATCTCACTGTCAATCATACCTTCCTGAATGAAACCTGCTGTTGTACATTGATGGACATCTACCCTCTCGGCCAAGCAATGGTACACAATAGAGGTAAAAAGAAAAAAACTGTAAGGGAAATGCATTAGTATAAATAGAAGTAGTAATGTATGCTTCATAATGTTTCATTATTTGCTGAATCACAATTTCAGTAGGGTCTAGAGTTACCAGCTTTAGCTTTCTAAACTTCAACTTGATTGAAAATTATTCAATTCAATCTATTGAAAAATTCACAACAGCATTCCGCTGAAAAGGGATTTCATTGACATCTATTGAGACCTAGAGAATTTGTACTAAGAACAAATTTGGAGGATAAATTCAGTTCACAAATAGATACTTGCAACTTCAACTAAATCTGAACTGAACCACTATTAAACAAGCTTCCAGGGATGGGGCTGGATTGAATACCGAAATCTCACCTCTGGATCAAGTCATTTTCCTACACTATTACCATGCCCCTGTATGTTTTTAATATGTAGAAATCTATCAATCTTAATCTTGAATATATTCAATGATTGAGCACTCACAACTGTCTGGAATAAGGAATTCCAAAATTCACCTCCTAGAAGTGAAGAAATGTCTCCTCATCTCAATCCTAAACGATCAGCCTTTTATTCTGAGACTTTATCCCTGGTTGAAGAGCTTCCCCTCTGTCCCTTGACAAACACTGTTCCTGCATTCAGGCTACAGGTCCCTGTAAGAATTCTGCCTCTTGTATGGTTCAATTAGATCACCTTTTCATTCTCTAAAACTCAGAGCATATAGGTGGAGTCTATTAATCTTCCCCCATAGGAAAATCTCTCCACCCTAGGGACTAGTGTAATGTACCTTGTTGCATTCCCACACTGGCAAGTAGACCTTTCCTTAGGGAATGAGTTCAAAATTCCTTTTAATACACTAGGCATGGCCTCACCAAGACTCCAAGCACAAATGTGACATGAAGGACCACACACAGATATAAGAATCTAACCACCTACTTTTACTGATATGGTACTAAACATTATTTCGGACATTTTAAACAAATAACAATTACGTGAAGCCCAATGCATTGTCCTGCTGTGAGTGGGGGAATTCTCTACTAAACTGACGTTTTTAAAATCCTAAACTAAGGTGGCAATCATTTTTTTAAAAAACGAAGGATGTTCGCAGTGAGTTTAAATGTGTACAAATTGCTCAGGCTTCCACGCTTTCCAGACAACTGAAACCTTTAGCTGTATCATACGGGAAAGAATCGGAATGTGGGGAAGTGGCTCACAAAACAGTAGCACACACACCAGGGTTTCCTCTAACTGCCGCTGACCAAACAGCTTTGTCCTCACTTGGATTTACAGTGCAGTCATGTGCCTCTCGAGCTTTATCCTTATTTGAATTCAGCAGAGTTCACGTCAACTTCCATGAAGGTTACCAAGTTTCTTGGTAAAACATAACAGAAGGCTTTCTAACTGTACAATTCTTAAATCGGTATTTTACGACGATATAACAGAAAAAAATAACTTTAAAAATGCTCCTGAACCTATTGATCCTGTAGCTGTCAAGACCGTATCACGATGGAGCTTATGTTCCAAACATTATTCCAAATACAAAAAAAAATCCAGCAGATGCTTTGGCAATATTGCGAGACAGTTTTTTTGTTAAGTTTATGCACAGGATACAACAGTGTAGAAGAGCAGAGCTATGGACCTGTCCGCGCCAGGCTCACTGCTGTACTTGGGCGGTCACTACCTTATCACATGTGTCTGGCACGGCTTGTTTTCCCGCCAGGAGTTAGTCACCGTCCCTACAGTGTTAAAATAAAGAGAAATGCTCCCAGCCCTCAGAGATAAAACTCGGTTAGTCTTGCCATTCATTAAAATCAAACGCACCATCGACCATTGTTAATGTCTCAAGAACTGTCGCCGTTATGTTTCCGACTGTGAGCAGAGCAGCTCCTAAGGATACAAAGGGAAATCTGAACGCTCGCTCCTTTTTACCCACTCTTCAGCAGAACTGCCAGATGACGGACAAGTTACTTCATCCAACCAGACTCAAGCAGTTGTAAAGAATACACCTTGGCTCTAGGAAATCATTGGCTGCTCTCTGGGGAATGGAGGGTGTTCAGTATTAATGACCGCTGAGCAGGCAGTCCGATGTCAATGTGACAAGTGATAGTGTGAATCATGCACCACGAAGGACTCCGAATACGAGGGGAAATATAAAGGAGCTTAGCAGCATTTCCATATACTGGATTGTCAGTCTTGGCTCGACGGCAGAGCCACTGCAAACAATACAAACAGATGCTTATTGTTAGGGCACAGCTCAAGTATTGCTGCATATCCGAGAGCAGGATACATGCTTCAGAACACTCTCTGTCTGAAACAGACCATTGCTCACAAGCTCTGGGGAAACCAAGCGCATTGAAATAGATGCTTGAGGATGTAACGGTAAGCTCATTTTATATTTTAATTTTAATGCTTCATGTCAATTCCAGATACAATATTATTACTAAAACATATGTACAACAGATGTGTCTTACATTAATGAGTCTTCAGTTAAACTGAACTCTGTTATTCCAATCCCTCCTCTTAATCAACAGCATTATGAATATTTGGGATTTACAAAGTTCTGATTTATTCTTAAAGGTGTCAAATCAGCAAAAAAGCACAATGGAAATTAAAATAAAAATTTGAAGAGATTGTCACTGTAGGTATAATAAAAAAGATCAGCACAGGTATAATACAAAAGGTTCCTGGGATGTTGTATCTTATGTTTCAAATCAGTTGAAATGTGCAGGCAGACTGCTGCAGTTGAAGAAGAGTATTCAGTTAACTATCCTATGTAACCAATAGTGAACACAGGGTAACCTCTTTTAAAAAAGTGGTTTACTTTTTTAAAGCCTGTGATCTGCCTTGGGTCGTAAATAAAATGAACCCATGGCACAAAGGGAGCAGCATATTACAAAAGCTTATTGACCTTCAGTTGGACTAGGTCCACAGATTGGTAGTAAATAACAATCTTTAAAACAGCTCAACAAAAATGGGGCAGTTATAAAATCTAATTACCGATACATTTGACATATTGGTGCAAGATAACTGCAGATAAAATAGCACTATATCTCCTACTTCTGAACTCCATCCATAATTACCAAGATCATAGTATTGGAGCTTTTATGTGTTATCTTCATCTGACAATATTGCTCAAAGCATTTAACATTTCTTTCCATTATCAGACTGTCCAAGGTTGACACTGTGCTGCAGTATTGTAAAAACAAAGAATACTTTTGTTTTCTAATAGATAGGAATTTAAAACAAAACAAATAACCTGATTTGGCATCATAAATCTGCCCTTTGAAAAAGGTCCTAACTTAATGGCTAAGGAGTTAATTTAATCAAACAACCTTGGTAAATTATAATAAAGCTGCTTCTATAACATGAGGAACATTGTTTTTTTTCCACAACTGAATAATGAAAGACAAGACAGTTGTAGTTTAAATAGGTCTATAATATTATTAAATATATTGTCTTTTGTACAGGCTTTTCTAATAGCCCTGCACTAGATCAATGTTTCATTTGACTATGTAACTACTGCTTGTTACAGGACAATCTCATTGATAAAGAAATTCATAAAGTGCAAAATAACAGTCCATAATTGCAGTGGGTGAGTGAAGTGAGAAGTGTTGTTGTCTCTAAATTTAATGAAGCATGACCACTTCCATTCTCTATCAGGTTGTCAACAAAGCCTCACTTCCATTCAGATCAATTTTTGTGAACATTTTAAGTACTTAGTGAATGTAAGTAGGCAAAACAACTGGGATGTTTCAGCAAATGTTAGCCTTTAAAGTACATACATGAACAGTAGTGGATGGTATACACATGGTAATAAGTTAGTGTCTCCCCCCATTATGTCATAATGACTGTAGGTGCCCATACATTGACAGCCAAAAAATGCATTTGTACAGATTGTTCAACAGGAAACTGCTTTTCAATTTGGAAGAAATTTGCAGACCTGTAAAAACATAGATGCACATACAACATGAATTCCATACCCAAATCCATATATCTGATAGAAAGAGGTTGTAAATTTTGAAGGTAAGTTAATAGAATAAGATAAAAAATATTATATTTGTAAACTGGCATGTACAAAGAAAACCAAAAAAAAACATAGGAAATGTATGCAAAACATTAGCAGCATTCAAACAAGAAAGGAAATGAAGACAACTGTAGGTCAAAGTATCTTTGTCACCATACAATGCATCAAAATGAATCTACAACAGAGAATGCCACAGTGTTTTAAGTAATTTAAAAAAAAATACAATAAGGATGTAAATTTTAGCTCTTTGATGTCCACAATCTAAATTCCATTTAATTCAATTCAGAAACGTCTTGTATGGTTTACAATGATTTGAGACAAAGTTGTTCAGATTAAATCACTGAAGACAGTGTTCACGTTGTTTTCACCATGGTTACACAGAGATCTGATTTAGTCATCTTCAGCATGCTCAGCTAGTATAGCATTAATACGAGAAAATTCTTTCTAGAATACATTTCTCATTTCAGCCAAGCTTTCCTTTAATGATACATATTAAGTACAGTTATTTAAGTGCAATAATCAAAATACAAAATTGGACTTATAATTCTGTGTTGCAAGTTGCTAAGGAAACCCTTAACTCCCCATTTTAATCTACACCTGTTAAATCACCACAGCTTCTAGAAAATTGCTAGCAGTACAAAACATTTGCTGTAAAATCCGCCTCCATATGTTTTTTTTTAATAAGTCATGGTGAAAACTGCGGTGAAGAGGTGACCTGTTCCTGACTATATGTTCTTGATTGGTGATGAGAGTAACTATAAATGAATCTGTTCTTCAAACAGATTTGAAACTAATATTCTAACATTACAGTGTGTGTGTAGCAAAGTAAACAATAAACAAAAGAAACACAACAGCAGTGGCATGCTGTAGGGACAGGGACAATTGCAACTGCTCTAATGCTGCTTTGCTGGACTCAGCAAGTTCTCAACACAAGCACAGGATGAATATTAAGGGTGGGAACTGGAAACCATTGCTGTTTACATCTCACAATATGGAATTTCATTTGTACTGAAGTCAGGCTAACTGGCACAACTAGGTCCAGGAAGTAAAATGTGAGAACAGGTCATAAAGGTTTATAATCTGATAAAGGTGGCATGCTGAGACGGACATACAAAAATAATTGCTATCTAAGAATGTTTGGTTTTGATCAGTTTTGACACACAACCAATTTTGAATCTACTGATAAGGGTATCTTTTAAAATGTATGCACAAAGAAATCAATAACAATTGGAATTTTCAACATTGATTCTAAATGACACAATTATTGACAACAAACAAAATTAATAATAAAGATTAAACCGCCACAGAAGTTTAAAATCCTTATAACTGACATCAGTATCAACATACTCTCTGTAAAGAGCTAGGAGGCAAATTACTCCAAATACAGGCTACAGCTTTCCCATGAGATTGGATAAGAAGGAGGGCCACGCTAGATCACATCATTATATATAGTTTAAGAGAATCGTGGAAGAGGCAGGAACTACCTCTGCACAATGTTAGTCTGAAGAAATAACAAGACTTGGAGTAACCCATGAAGAACTTAGGAACATAGATTTAGGGGCAAACGTAGGCCATTTGATCCCTTTAACTTGCTCCACCATTCAAAAAGATTTAACTTCACTTTCCTATCATTCCTCCATAACCCATGGTTTTCAATCAAAATTCTGCCATGAATAAATTCAACAGCACAGACTCCACTTTCTGGGAAAGATCATTTCTCCCACTGAAGATCCTCTGAGAATAATAAAATCTCAAAATCTCCATCTTAAAAAGACCTCTTTCATCTTAAATTGTGTCCTCTAGTTTTAGTCTTCTCCACAAAAGGAAACATTCTCCTGGCATATGTTTTTCAATGAGATCAACTCACATTCTTCTAGACTTCAATGGCTATAAGGCATTTGGGCTTATCTCATAGAGACAGGTTTTTCGTTCCAGGAATGAGTCAGGCAAATCACCTCTGCACTGTATCTAATGCAACATGTCATTTTTTTTTCAAATAAGGGGACCAAAACTGTACACAGTACTCGAAATGCAACCTGGGCAAAATCTTCTACAGCTGCAGTTAAAAGATCCATGCTTTTGTATTTTGAAATTTGCATCAATAGGTATTCCATCATCCACATAAAGTCAGAATGACATTTTTGTGGGAACATACTTCTGTTTTCCTGCTGTGCTTTTAACCATACACCACAGGAAAATATAAAGGGAATCTTAGACAAAAATACCTGGCTGGAGTCAGGGTTGAGGGGGTAATGGTGGTTGGAGGGGTGTTTTGAGAAGGGGAGGGGACGTTTAATGAGTATTGCAAGTAGGAAGGGTGAATGGAACAACAACCTAAATTAAAGAATACTGCAAATGCTGTCAATCTGAAATAAAAGCATAAAAGCAGACAACATTGTAATACAGAGCAGATCTAACATCTGACCTTGATATCAGTGCACTGTATTCACCAATTTGCCTGAAGATTCAATTACTGTCGCCTCTGTACAATGAAACGCATAAATCTTCGATTATTTTTTTAAATTTACAGCCCTCATACTTGAAGCATTAACCTTTATGCTGAACAGCAGAGCTAATAGTTGCTATAATTAATGTGTTTTTCCCATCAGTTAGAAGTGTTAGACCTACAGTAACATGCCTCAGCTTTTGTAAGTGGCTCATTCATCCATTGCTGCATTTAAACTTTCCATCCAAGTTACAAGAACAGAAAAGGAGATTTGTGTTCTGCCATTTTACAACTACAGATTTCAGGATGTTTAGCACTAGTTGTTTAGCATTTACAGCACATTTGTATAGCCAATTTTCTGTAGTGCCAAAGTCACTGTCAAAGTAGCAATATAAATGAAATAGTACTTATGTCATCAGCAGTAGTGTTTATCATTGCTTAATTTTAATCATGTGCCTTAGAAAATATGCTGTGAATCTTTCTTTTTGGCATTTGGTGATCTGAAGTACCTAAGCCCATGTGATACAAGAAGACTTTATATTTATTTAGAGCTCTGAACAGAATAACCACTCTAGATTCTTCACATGGGATGAATGAATGCAAAGTAATAAAATTTTGGAGAGGTACTAAAAAGCCTAGTTCAAAATCATGCAGGAAAAGAGATGACTTTAGGGAGGTATTTTCAGCAAATGGCAGAATACATAGAGGGTGATACACAGGAGACCTAGAATTAAGTACTGAAGTATAGATTGTATATAGTTGTGCTCACCAAAGATTTGGCAGATATGAGGATAGAGAGTGCAAACATAAAGGGATTTATAACAAGGACAAGGAATTTAGTATCTTGAGGAAGCAGTGAGCCACAGGAGGGAAAATAGAACTTAATGCCGTAAAGGTTTCTGGTGACAA